CTGTCTGTCTGTCTGTCTGTCTGTCTGTCTGTCTGTCTGTCTGTCTCTCTCTCTCTCTCTGTCTCTCTCCAGCTCTCTCCCTCACTATATCTCTCTCAAACTCTCTAATTAAGAATAACAACAAACGGTCAAAAAATGAACAACGCAAAAAATCCAAGAGATACCCCCGAAAAAAGTAGCAGCCCGGACGGACTATCCACGATCACTCTCAGCAGACAGACAAACCGATCACAGAAGACAGCACCGCATTGTTTTATTGATTCTCTCCCGCAATCCCACAGCGACCAGCGAGTCGACCAAGCCCAAACTGTCAGCATGGACGTCAGTGAAGACGTACCATGAGAACGCTCAGCTGTCACAAACTATATTTGCTAGTAGTCACAGAACGAGAGGAGAGACAGGGGGTGACCGGAGATTCTCGAGACAACGAGAGCGCGCCGCTCATGTTTGAAGACATGAATGTGGCCTGAATGAAATGACTCCGCACTTAAAAAGGGAAGGAAGACTGGTGTCTGTGGTGTAGTGGTTAGGCACTTCTCGGTCGTGCACAGGAGACTCAAGTTCGATTCCCGAATGAGGAGAATTAACATTTTAATCGAATATATCAGTCTTACTGCTGGGATGTTGTATCCATCTCAGTCTAAATTGGCCGTGACGGGCATGGTCGGAACCCGCCTCTTGAATGATATAAATTGTGTTGATGAATGTCATAAATACACCTACAACAACACTTATAAGTGAAGTGATCTACGATCTTGAACACTGTCAAGTCTTTGCTTCTCCGACTTGCTTTACCCTTGCACTAAAAGATCATTATTTTGTCAATGCACTTCTTTTTATATAGATCTAAATCTTTCCGTGCGCAGAAAAAGCAGGCGCACTTTTCATATGTGTGGAAGACATTTCATCAAGTCCCTCCATCGCTCTGCTGGAACGTTGTAAGCTATACAGTACAGAGCACAATGACATAAAGTATCGAAGCAGCCACGTCTTCTAAAGCATTGAATCATGCAATGACAGGCAAAAATCATTTGAACTACAGCTGGGGATTACTGGAGAAGAAGGGCACATTTCTAACTTTTAAAGAAACTCCTATTGCACCATATGCCACACCTTCTCGAACCTCCACACACACAAAATTGCAATGCCTCCCCCCCCCCCCACACACACACACACGAAACTCCATGTGAGTTCTTCTGACCACCGAATAAGTCAGTGTAGCGTGAGAGTTGAGCAATGGCGTCATACTGAGAGGCGACGACGTCATGCTAACCTGTGACAAATTGCCGTGATAACCCTGGTCTTTTAGTTTTAGTAGAGGTTTTACGGCGCTCGCAACTGCATAAAGTCATATGAGCGCCAGAAGATTAGAGGTGTTACAAGAGAGTAACAAACATAAAAAGGAAGAAGGGGAGATACGGATGATAGATGTTTGATAGGAAAGAAGAAGGAAACCACACCAGAGCACCCGCCAACCACCCACAAAACTCCGGTCTCGCTTTAAATCCCGTTTGTGTGAGCAAAGAGAAGCGCAGTATGTAACGACGTAACGACCACTGAAAGCTGGAAAACAGAACGACAAACGGCTAAAAACAACAGGGTAAAAAACAATCAGACCTGAGTGGTGCCCCCAACCGACCACCTTTTCATCTCTATTCACAACATCATTATACGGCTTGTTAAAGTTACCGTTGACATCGCATCACGAGTTTTGCTTATTGGTTTCAAGAAGGTTTCAAGTAAAAAAGAGCAGAGGTCGAAACAATAAAATAACCGACATCAAGAGCGGGGAAAATTCAAAACAGACCGATAAAGTTAGTAGGGGAAATAAAAGAATCAGGACTTACAAGTGGCGCCCTTTAACCATAATTTGGCCCAAGAGCTTTGTATTGGCGAGTTCTATAGACATATCATTTGAATTTTGAATTTCAGTACCACAAGGGACGAACGCGTGTGTGTGCGAGTGTACGTGTGTGTGTGTGTGTGTGTGTGTGTGTGTGTGTGTGTGTGTGTGTGTGTG